TCAACGTGCCATGACCCAGCATCATGGCTCAAGCAGAAGGTCAGTGGTGGGAACCCAAACCTTGCATACACCCGTCAACATGCCGTGACCCAGCGTCATGGCTCAAGAAGGTCATTGGTGGGAACCCAAACCTTGCACGAGCCTGTCAATGTGCCGTGACCCAGTGTCATGGCTCAAGGAGAAGGTTTTTGGTGGGAACCCAAACCTCGCACGAGCCCGTCAACGTGCCGTGACCCGGTGTCATGGCTCAAGAAGGTCGTTGGTGGGAACCCAAACCTTGCACGAGCCCGTCAACGTGCCATGACCCTTCCCTGGTTTTATGGCTTGGGTTGAAGGAACCCAAGATTTGCGTGGACTCATCTCACCTTGGTTTTGAACCCAAAGCCACACCAAAACCCTCTTTTCCCCAGCAGCAACCTGGGAGGTGGCTAAAGGGACGTCACCCCCCGTGATTTCCTCTTACCTGGCAGGAATCGATGCCCCCCTGGGGCACGCCGGCGCAGAACATGTTGGGGGTGATGGCGTTCCCGTAGGCTCTGGCGCATTTGTCCTTCCCAAAGGTTTGGATGGCGGCGCACTGCAAATTTTTGGGCAGATACGCTGCACGACAAGGTGGGGATGGAGAGGGACATGGTGAGAAGGGGCAGCCCCCTAATGCCGAGGCCCGAGCAGACCTCATTATGCTTTTGGTAGGGTTCTTTGGGAGGTGGATGATGGAGATGCCTCCATCAGAAGTGGGGAGGTCGACACGAAGGAAATCCCAATCCCGAAGGGAAAAACTCAACCCCAAAGGGAAAAACTAAACCCTGAAGGGGAAACCCCAACCCTGAAGGGAAAAACTCAACCCCGAAGGAAAAAACTCAGCCCCAAGGGGAAAACCCAACCCCGAAGGGAGAACTCAACCCGGAAGGAAAAAACTCAACCCGGAAGGAAAAAACTCAACCCGGAAGGGAGAACTCAACCCTGAAGGGAAAGACTCAACCCCGAAGGGAAAAACTCAACCCCAAGGGGAAAAACTAAACCCTGAAGGGGAAACCCCAACCCCGACGGGAAAACCCCAACCCCAGAAGGAAACCCCAACCCCGAAGGGAAAATTCAACCCCAAAGGGAAAAACTCAACCCCAAAGGGAAAGCCCAACCCCAAAGGGAAAGCCCAACCCCAAAGGGAAAGCCCAACCCCGAAGGGAAAACCCCAACCCCGAAGGGAAAACCCCAACCCTGACGGGAAAACCCCAACCCCGACGGGAAAACCCAACTAGACGTCATTCTCCGTGGGGAGCCGCTCCCTGGGCAGAGTTAAGGTGAGGTCAGGGAAGACCTTATCCCACTTTCCCAGCTGAGAAAGCCACCCAATCTCCTTGGCGAGCCCTTTCCCCTGCCCAATTCCCTCCACCCACCATCCCACCTCTTCCACCGCGATCTCCACCGGGAACCAGTACCTCCAGGGGACTTGGTCGTGCCCCAACCAGAGACGCTGCACCTCATCCCGTCCATGGGACACCTCGTAGCTAATCGGATCTTCTTGATGCTGTTGCTGAACTGAACGGGTTTGTTCAACCTCAGGAGCATGAAGTCGTTGTCGTTCTTGCGGGGGTTGTAGGCTGGATGGACCTGGAGCTTTGAAATCAACCTCACTTGCCCCGTTCCGTCCCGTAACGTGTCCGTCCCGATTAACACCCTAAGGTCCCTGCCCGGGGAAGAAGATCAAGAAATCAGTGCTGGTACCTCCAGAGGAGACAAATAAAACCTTGGCCTCAAGGGTTGGCCGGCAAGGAGATGATGGAGATGTGGCCATTGAAGTTTCTCCGCATTCAGCGGGCAGAGTTAAGGTGATCCGGCGGTGGGACCACCGTATCCCATTTCCCTGGGGGAGGAGACCAGGAAAATACGCTCATGCCTTGAGGATTCATGAACCAGCTCTTCTCCAAGAGCTCTTTGATGGCTCAGATACCCTGGGGCCACCTTCATGGGAAACAGTTGCATCTCTTAACTTCATCTTCCCGACTCCAGGAGGCCCACCTGCAACGTCTCGACGATGTTGCCCTCAGCCCAACTTCTCCCCGACTTTTTTTTTTTTTTTTTTTTTCCTCCCATGATTTCCCCTCCAAAACATCCAGCTTCCTCTCACGGGACCTTGCGGAGAAACTGGCCAACCTTGGCTGAGGGGGAACCTGCTCCGCTTAGTGGTGTCACCTGGAAAAAGGGGGTGACCGGACCTCAAAGTTGAGGGGGGAAGAGCTTGGTTCCCTTAGGATTTTGGAGCTGGAGGTTGTCACCCTGTGAAGGACCCATCAGCTCCTCCAGTCTCCACGCGGAGGACGACTGTGCCTTGATTCCCCTCTAGAAGCATTGCCGTCCAGATGCTAACATCTGGAGATACCCATCAACGTCTAGAGCTACTGGTCATGGGACACCGGCCACTCTGGAGGTAACATCTGGGCTACAAATATCTGGACGTACCAACCTCTGGATACCTCTGGTACCTCTCTCTGGAGCTACCAACCCCTGGAGGTACCAGGTTCAGTATGACCAACTTCTGGACACCAAGATCTGGAGGCGTTCACATCTGGAGACGACAAAACTCTGGAGATGCCAACATCTGGGGCATCTTTCTCCGGATATCACCACGCGGAAGCAAGCGTCGCCTTCCAGAAGTGCCAACATCTGGGCATGAAACCTGAAGGCACCGACCCCAGGGGACCCACCTCTCCCCCTCGGTCCTTGAGGAGACCTGGGCGAGGAGACGTCGTTTCCCAGGAAGCCATGGGGCATGTGAGCACGGAACCGGCTTACCTGATTGGCTGCCTGCAGTGAGCGGCTGTCAAGACCCATTGGGCATCTATCAAGCTTCCCCCGCAGAGAATTTGACCCCTCTTGATAAGGGCAACTTGGAAAGGTCGTTGGTTGATGGAGCAGGGTTTCCCACCGATGATCCGGGACTCGTCCTCCTCCGGCACTGAAACAAAGAGCACCAAAGGGCACCGTCAACGCGTTGTAGGCAGCCGCCAAGTCTTCCGAAGAAAGACACCTGCCCTTTTGGGTTGAAAAGAAGGTGAAACGTTGCAAAAAAAAAAAAAAGGTGTCTTTGAAAAGGGGAAAGGGAAAAAGTCTCTATTTTTCAATCTTAAACTCCCATCGGAACACTCATAATCACCTTAAAAACCTAAAAATACGCTTTTTTTCATTTACTGAGTCATCTATCTGCCTACTGGGCTTTTTTTTTTGGTGAAAAAGGGTTGAAGGACTTTTTTTGGGGGGGGTTGATTTGGGGAGCAGGTGAAATCCAACCATTTGTAGCCAAGACTTGAATCAATCCTCGAAGGTCTGTTTTCTCCTGGTGCCATTTGATGGAGCCCCATGACTCCATGACCTGACCACTCCTCCCAGGCAGAGGACTGGAGGTGGGAACTCCCACGAGGAGACCCCTTTGGGACCGGTTTGTCTTGCCGGATCGTGACAATGAGGTGTCCTGGAAATCACCGAGCGTTCGGGAAGTCACCAGGAGCCACTTATCTCCGCCGGTTTCGCCATGGGCCTCTGGGAGGGGCATCCGTTCCACCTCTACGATTCCTCCCAGCCCGAGATTGGACTCCAAAAAGGAAGCTGACGCAGATCTAAAAGAGCTGATGGCTTCGTCCTCGGTCGGTGAGAAAGCCTGTAGGACCAGCTCGAAAAGCATCCTACCTCCCGGATGGCTCATGTACCCAGAACTCCTAGTTAGGGCCGGGGTAGGAGATGGTTGCATCAACACAAGCAGGAGAAGCCCTGACGCGGGGAGAAACGATAAGAGGAATTTCCTCGGGAATGCGAGTCCTTACGTCAACGCTGGAGCTGAGACGTCTCCGTCCCCGTCAGGTTGATTTGAGAAGGAAGGGTGAGCGCCGTCAACTTGGTTTAGGGGGGTTTTTTTTTGGGTTAGATCATAGAAAAAGGGTCTCATCGCTAGAAGCGCCCCATTTCTGACACGGATCTCCCAATTTTTCCCATCTCTGGAGGCATCTCCCTTGGCTTTTAGTCGCTGTGGAAGCATCTCCCTTGGCTTTAGGTGGCTGCAGATGGGCGTCTGCTGGAGTTACCCAACGTCGCTGGTCCTCGAGGAGAGGAAGGGACCGTTCTGAGAGGCAATCCCACCCCATCCAACGCCAGGCGTTTACGAGATGACGTTGCCCCTCCCCTCGTTAGGGTATTTATCATAAATGAGGTTTGCAGGGTGACTGTCTTGAGGCCATGACCACCTTAAGGGCAGCTCCGCTCGGGTGACCACCCAATGGGAGTCCAAAGCCTTGCGACGTGCTCGGGACCCTCAAGGTCACTGGAGAAGACCCCTGATGCTCAGTTGTGTCCAAGTGGGAACAGACAAGTTTTGTTTTTTTTAAAAAAAAGGATAATCAGTTCAAAAAAGGTGTTTTTTTCAAGAAAAAGACCTCTCTCCCACCTCAAAAACACGCAGTAGGACTTTCAAATGGGAGATACCAAGTCCTTGTTCTCTGAGGTGTCCTCACAGGTTTTGGGGCCAAGTTCTCCACGCCGTGGTCTGGGGCATCCCAGACATTTTTGGCTAATGTGGGGGAGAAGTCGCGAGTCCAAGCGTTGACCACCTCGGCGAAGAGCTGCATTGATCGCGGCGCGTGCAAGGTGGCTCCGGTCCACGGCATCTGCAATCGCCTTCCGCTGAAGGTTGGGACATTGGAATTTACCAGTGGGACTGGTTTGTGCTGGTGGGAATTGCAGCCTGTGACAGGTGACCATGGGTGACGCCCGAATTTCAAGCCGCCTGGAATTTGCCACTATCCGGTCCCGGCAACGCTGCCAAAAGTCGAAGGGTGGGAACCATCCTCCTGCAAATGCTCATCGGGGAAGCATCCCTGGTCATCCCAAGGGCCGTTCTTGAGCCTTCAGAGACCAACCAGTGGGTTTAGATTCCACCAAGCTCCTTGAAGGCATCTCAGCAGCTTCCCCGAGCTCCCGTGGTGGAGGGGTATCCATCAACAAAGGCCAATCGGCAGAGGCAACGTGAGATGGTGGATCCTGCCCTGTGGTGGAATCCATCCCCTGGATTTCCAGAGGCTACTGGCAACCAGAGAGCTCCAACCGAGGTGATGGTACCTCCATCCCAAAGATCTGCCCCCAAGAAAACAGTTCTTGGACAGTCACGGGGCAAATTGTCGAGCCATTGTGTTTGGACATGACCTTGTTCCTTCTCCGCAGGACCTGGGCGTTTCGGATTCAGCTCTGGGGACACGGATTTGGGTTAAGAGGCACCGAGATCAGGTCAGATCCGAGGTCTTTGCATCCAACGGTCAGAAATCACGGGACTCCTCTTTCCACCCAGAGACCCATCCATTTGGGTTCTCCTTTGGCAGAGCATCATTTTGGAGGCCAGAAGAAAGGAAAGGGATGCTCCCGTTGGGATTAAGTCTCTCCTTTCTTTCCATCACCCCGGGTGACACTTTTTGTCTCCTCCTCTTTGCGGCTGTAACAGAAATCCCCGTGCAAACTTCCAGAGGAGGGAAAGAAGTGATCCCGGCGATCCCAGCGCCTCCAACGGGATGCGGGGATTTTCCTCTGCATCTCTTACGGGCCCCGTTTTCCCACGTCAAGGGGATTGCTTTCTCTCAGCTCGAAACCAAAACAGGTTTCGTAACCGTAGGGCCTTGCCCAAACCTTCCTGTAGGCAAGATTCCCATCAGCCAAGAGAAGGGATCTCCCCATCCCATCCCATCCCTTCCCATCCCATCCCATCCCATCGGACACAGTCCCCTACAAGGTCCCCGTGAAACACCCGTGGTGGCTCCATCCCTCCCTCCTCGGCCACGGGGTTGACTTACGCTCGTTGCCTTCGTTGCCCTTCACCTGAGCTCGCGCCGGCGGCAGGGCGGTCAACACCACTCCGGCTGCGAGGATGAAGATGGGGATGAAGCTGAAGGCCCCGCGCCCGTCATGAGCCATTCCTGGGGCAGAAAAACCAAACTGGATCAGCTCCGGGGTGGTCGACGCCAACGTGGGGACTACGGGGAAGGTCCTCGGCGGTGTCCTTCTGCCTCCCGTGTGGGATGGAGGCGACATCGCCAAGATGCTGGTGGTGTTTTGGTGCACCTTCCCCCTTACAGACCTTGGGGTGGTCTTGGACCCTCTTCTCCACCCTGTTTTGGTTGAGTTCCACCAAACCCACCTACACGAGCTCAGGAAGGACCACCTCCCACCCCATCTCCACGAAACTGGGAGATCCGAGCTAAACTGGGATACGGAGGGCATTCCCACCTAAACCCATCCAAACCAGAGCCACCCCACGTGGGCTGAGCGCCTGGGGCCGGATGGATCCAACCCGTGGGAAACATCCACCGAGAGATGGGGAATCCCCGGATGCCTGTTTCCCACGCCGCCCCGCAGCATCCATCCCTCGTCGCGACATCCGTGGTCCTGGCCTTTGGGGATGGACTCACCTGCCGGAGGAGAAGGACGGGGCCGGCTCGGCGTGTCGGGAAGCTGAGAGCCGGTGGCTTGGGGATATTTATACCCGGGGTGAAAAGTAGGCCGTGTCTCCGGCGGGGTGAGTCAAGAGCGGTTGGGCGACCGGTCGGCGCGGTAGCGGGGCGAGCGTGGCCCGTGGGTGTCTCCCCGTCCCCGGGAGAACGATTAGGGCTTTGATGTCCCAAAGGAAACGCCGACGGGATCCTCGGCAAACGGGAAAAGCCCGCTTCTCCTATCATCGGAACCACCCCGGACGGGGGTGAGGAGTCCCCAAAACAGGGCTGACCCCTCCCCATGTCCTGGGGTGAATTGGGGGGGTCCCTTCCCACCCCCAGGGCAGGATGGGGGTGTCGGGGTGATGACCCAACCCCTTGGGTGTTGGGAAATGGGATGGGGTTGCCTCCTGCTCGTCCGCTGCCCGTTCTGCTGGCCGCTTAGCCGGCCGTAAGGTTGCCCGGCCAGCCGTCTGTCTGTCTGTCCGTCTGGCCGTCCGCCCGGCCGGCTGGTCGTAAGTCCGCCCGGCCGGCTGTCCGCTCTGCCTGGCCAGCCATCCGTCTGTCTGTCCGCTGATCCGGCTGCCTACCTGTCTGTCCAGCCATCTGTCTGTCTGTCCAAGCAACTGGAAGTCTGTCCGGATGTCTGTCTGTCCGTCCTCCCACCTGCCTGTCCATCCTTCCATCTCCCTGTCCACCTGACTGTAAGTCTGACCGTCCGTCTGTCCACCCAGCTGTCTACCTGTCTGGCCATCGGTCGGGGCATCCGACTGTAAGTCCGTCCAGCTGTCTGTCCCCCCATCCACGTATCTTTCTGTCTGTCCACCTGTCCTTCCAACTATGTCTGTCTGTCTGTCCATCCATCTATCTGGCCATCGGCCCATCCATCCATCCGTCTGTCCATCTGACTGCCAGTCTGTCTGTCCCACAGATGTCCCTCCGTCCATCTCTCTGCCCCATCCGTCCATCTGCCGTTCATCTTGCCATCCCTTTGTCCATCAGCCCGTCTGTCTGTCCGTCTGCAGTCGGCCAGTCTATCCACTCACACCTCTTGTCCCCTCATCTCTATCTGTTCATCTCCACCGTATTCCCTCGTCTGTCCATCTGTCCGTCCAGCTGTAGAGGTGTCTTACCATCTGACTGTCTTGCCATCCTTCCAGTGAGCTGGATAGCTGTCTGTCTGTCTGTCCTATTTATCTGTCCATCCATCTATCGATCCATTCCTCCATCCATCCATCCCTCCATCTTTCTGTCCATCCCTCTGTCCACCCCTCCATCTGTCCTTCTATTCCTCCATCTAGCTGTCCATCCATCTGTCCATCCCTCCCTCTAGCTGTTCATCTAGTTGTCCATCCCTCCATCCCTTCATCTATCTGTCCATCCCTCCATCTGTCCATCTATCTACTATCTAGCTGTCCATCCCTTGATCTAGCTGTCCATCCATCTGTCCATCCCTCCATCTATTCCTCCATCTAGTTGTCCATCCATCTGTCCATCCCTCCATCTATCTCTCCATCTAGCTGTCCATCCATCTGTCCATCCCTCCATCTATCTCTCCATCTAGCTGTCCATCCATCCGTCCATCCAACCATCTACCTCTCCATCTAGTTGTCCATCCATCTGTCCATCCTTCCCTCTACATGTCCATCCCTCTGTCCACCCCTCCATCTGCCCATCCACCCACCCACCTAGCTGTCCATCCACCCACCTCCTCCACACAACCAGCCGGGTAGACATCACATTACGCGTACACGCGTGCGCACACGCTTCCCCACGCGTGCGCGGGGGCAGGCGTGCTCCCAACCCACCATGTCACCTCCGAGGAGGGGACCCTCGTGGCTCCAGGGTGGGGGATGCGGCCCCTGAAGGTCCTTGGGGACCTTCCTTTGAGTAGGTAGTTACTCAGATGAGTAACGCCGCGGATGTGGGTGAACGATGGGCGAGGTCCCGTCCCGCTGCCAACCCGGCTGAGCCCTGCGAGTCGCTTCTGGTGAGTCAAGGGGACATCGGGGATGGGGGTGTCACTCGTCCGTGTGTCCCCCCCCAAAGCTGGACACTGGCCCCAACCCTGGAGATGCGTCACCTCCTCTTCCTCGCTCCCCCAGCCCCAAGAACACGGAGGATCTCCAAGGTTGGAAGCGCCCGGAGAGGGTGACCCAACTACAATCAATGTCACCCACCGTCCCCAAGGCCACCTGGGGCATCTCCACCCCAAGGGTGGTGACACCAGCCGAGGACCCCGGCGTCTCCCGGCCCTTCCCGGGGCGGATTTCGCTTGCGTGTGCCGGGATGTGAGCCAAGCTCCGGGCCGGTGGGCCGAAATTTTCGCTGAGCTCAGCGGCGCTCGTCAGCCCCCACCCCGGCACCTCTTTCCAGAAGGTTCAAAACATCTTCGCCGATGGTTCTTCTCGTCTTGGAGAGCCGTGCTTGAGGTCCGGCACGTCCTGCAGTGGGAAGGTCTCGGAAGGATTTTTGGACACCGATGGGTCCTCTAAAGCCACCCTAGCCTGGCCAACCTCCACTTTGGTGGGACCAGAGCTGCCACGTGGGTGCAGGAGCTCCAGGGGTGGCTTTGAAGGCAACTCTGTGCCTCTCCAATGGCCCCTTCGGCAGGGCAGGGAGAGGAGACGAGGCTGGGAGCAGCTCAAGGCAATTAACAGCCTGACGAGCAATTAAGGGCGGAGAAGCCCAGGAGCTGAGTCCTGATGAAAGGAAAGGCCGGGTTGGGATGAATCACGGTTTGGAGCTGCTGATCTCGCTCTCTGCTGGTGGCAAGAGGAAGCCTGGGGCTGGGTTTGGTCCTAAACCTGGAGGTAAAGCTGGAGCTCCTGGAAGGGCAGCTATCCCAGGAGATCCATGGAGATCTGGTCTGTGGAGATCCTCAACGAAGAGGTTGTGGCCTTGGGAAGCCCATCTGTGGAGGCCTGGCCCGTGGCGGTCTCATCTACCAGGATGCCACCCGGTGGAGATCCCAACCCATGGAGGTCTGGTCTATGGAGAGCTAATCCACCAGCCTCCTGTTCCCGGTGATCTTCTCCCATGGAGATCTGGTCCACAAAGATCCCGTCCACAGAGATCCCTTCCACCAGGATCCTGTCCACCAGGACGTCCGGTCCACTAAGATCCCATCCGTGGAGATTTAGTCCGTGGAAATCCCATCCATGGAGGCCTGGTCCATGTTGTTCTCAGCTACGGGGATCCTGCCTGGGGAGGTCTTGTCCGTGGAGTGGTCAGCTGCGGAGATCATCTGTGGATGTCCCATCCATGGTGATCCCGGTGGAGAGATGTGGTGGGCAGAGATCTCATCCACTGGGATCCTGTCCAGGGAGATGCCGCCCATGAAGGGGGAGGATATGGTGATCCCGGAGGACATGGAGGTCAAATCCGCAGGGCTTCAAACCACGGGGATCCCATCCTTGGGGATGCCGCCCGTGGGGATCCACCCTACAGACACCAACAGCCGTGGAGATCTGGTCCACTGAGATCCCACCCATGGGGATCATCCTTGGCCATGAAGGTCCACCAAGATCACATCTGTGGGGATCCCATCCATGGGGATCTGCTCTATAGACATCCTCGGCCATGAAGGTCCACCAAGATCACATCTGTGGGGATCCCATCCATGGGGATCTGCTCTATAGACATCCTCGGCC